CTGGAGCAGTGCAGGCCTGGGCAGAGGCTGCTGGGAGCGAGGCAGGGGCATGGCCCCACGGAGATCCAAAGGCTGGCTGTAGAAGGCCAACTTGAGCACAGCAGGGGCAGGAGGAGGGGGAAAGGCTGGCTCAGCTGGTCCTGCAGCAGGATGGAGGGACACAGCTGGCCCTGAGCCTCTCCTGTGCCAGCACTGCAGGGACAGGCGGCTCCTGGGCCGGTGCTCGGTGAGCACCCACAGCCCTGCCAACCCCACAGCACCAAAACCAGCGAGAAACATTTGACTCTGTGCATTTAACCTTCTCAGGCCCTGGCAGGAGGCTCCTCAGCTGCTAAGACAAAGGTTGCCTGCAAAGTGCAAACAGACATTTTATGTCCCAAAATGTCCCAAGACATTTTCTTCCCCTGAGGGGAAGAGGGGCAGGGCTGGGTCAGCAGGGAGAGACCTGCAGGGGAATGGGATGGGACTTGGCATTCCCACTGCCAGAGGCTTGTGGCATCAGGAGTGACAGCTGGGTGGAAACTCTGTGCTTCCCAATACCTTAAAAGAAAAAGGATTTGTAAGATTTTTCTCCTTTCCTGGGAAGAGTGGTCCCAGGTTTGCCTCACAACTATTCGTGGCATCAAAAGCACATTCAAGAGATCAGACAGAGCTACAGCAGGAAGAGCAGTTGAAGAAGAGCACATTCTTCAATTTACTATTACTTCTAGAGAAAACCATAAATGTACCAATATTTTGGAATGCTGAAATGCCACTTGACAGAAAGATGAGAAACAAAGCACATAACCAGGTTCTGGTGGAAGCTGGAAGGGGCCCCATCCCAAACCTTTTCTGGATTCAGATATTCTGATTTCCAGATATTTCTGGATTCAGAGGCATTGTTTAACCACAAGAAAAGAAAACTTTTACAGCAGATATTTCTATTGTAATAAACAAGTTGATCTTGATGTATTCTCTAGAGGGTCCAGGTAGCCCAGGTAGTCTTTGTATGTGACCTATCATCAATATTGTCTGGATGCTACAGTCTCTGTTCTTTTCACCTCTGTATTTAACATTGAAAAGTATTTTCTTAAAGAATATGGCATATTGCTAAAAAATGCACCAAGACAGAACAGTACTGACATCCGTGGCAGGACCTTCTCAGACCACAGAAATCTTTTTGCTCCTTTTAAGCAGGGGAGCAGCACAACAAGAGGTGAGGCACACAGTGCTTACAGCTGCTGCTGCAGCTTCCTTTGGCTAACTGGGATGTACACGCCTCAAGGGAAAACAGCCAAAGCTTTTGCAAACCTCTTCTCTGTCTTGGCTTACAACACTTCTTTCTATGAAAACTGCCACAGTCTCTATAAAAGAAAGCAAGAAACTCCTGCTGGTTTACAGCCCCTAAGGAGAGTCACCACCCCAGACTGAGTCCAGAGGAGTAGTTAAACAGGGCATAGCAAAAGGGCACAGCATTAATACCTGTGAGCATACGAGCTCACTAGAGCAGATACACCTTCCAATTTGTCAGATGCCAGGCACAAAGTGGACTGATTTGTTTTGAAGATCACAAATTTTACTGATAAACATATATATATGTCAATAATCTGGGAAAAAATGGCTTCTGGAAGGGGAGAATTTAGCTCAAGTTGAATTATTGCTTCCGTTCACAGGTTAGAATTTTATTGTACTTCAAATACTACTTCATATGAACAAAAATACCTGGTACAGAACCCAGGAAGGTTCACACTGAGCTCAGGAAATCCTGTGGCATTAGAAATGGACAAGTTCAACTTTTCCTTGCTTTACAGTGGTATGATCCAATATCAGTATTGAAAGAGAGGATAAGAAAATTTTAGTTCCTCTCTAATTTGGTACAAGCAATATCTAAGCCTCATTTTTCTAATATGTGAAATGAACACTTTTCACTGCAAAGTACCTAAAGAGCAGTGGGTATAAAGAGCTTCATGGATGTGCAATCAAGAGGAAAAACTCAAGACTCAGACTGAAGCCTTATGCACCACCTTGGCACATGGAGAAGATCATGTAGTTTATTTGTAAGGGTAGCAAAAACTGGGATCCAGTTTTTTATTCAGCAATTAAAATTGCTACTGAGGAAGAGGCATTTCTCCAAAGCCATTAAAAATTACAAGCTTAGAGTTTGTATTTAGCATAATATGAGGTGTTCCAGATCTCCTTGACCCCCATGAACACATTTTGTTTGTGCTTCTGTTCAATGTGCCTCAAACCCTCATAGCCTAGATATTTTTAATTCTTTCTAAGCAAAAGTTTCAGTTAAACAGAGATTAATGGCATGAAAAGTTTAATATTTTTAATGATCATAAAGAGAAGTCTTTTGCAAAGTCTAAACAAGACTAATTAATAAGTAAATGCAACTTAAGGTTTTTTGCTTCAGCTAGGCCATCTCAGATATCACAACAAATATCTTTAAGGAAGATGCTTCATATCCTTCCACCATTTCTAAGTGGTGGGTACTGCTTAAAGAAGTCACCCCATAAGTTATTTCCCCAGCTGAATTTCCATATGTCATACGCTTAGAAACAGAAAGGAGCCTTTCTGCCATTCTTCTGTCTGAGTAAATCCCTGTGAATCTCTTTTGTCTGCTTGGATTGCCAGGAAGAAGCACTGAATCTCTTCAGCAATGTTTTAATTGGCTCTGTGAGAACATGCTCTCATCACTCCCCTTCATTCTCTAATGTATCTTTCCAAAATCATAATGCCCATTTATCTAATTACTTTATTTGGCAGCCTGAAAATAAGGGTAATTACAGTGTTCTCTATTAGCTTGTAAGGAGGACAGAGGACTAGATGATTTGGAGGAACGAGAAATCAGACCAGTAGGTCCTGGTTATATTCAAACAGGAATTTCCAGAGGAAACATTTGGTTGTCCATGAAGGACTTTGAGACCAATTTTCCTTTAAACCAATACAAGACAACAGAGGCACAGTGACAATGCCACATTCCCAAATGAGATGTTGAACAAATGTCTTTACCACATGTGGTCATTAAAGATTTGGTGTCAAGATGAAAGGTGTTAACCTTGGAAACCTGGCCAGACTCCAACGTAGATAATTACATTCTGCCTCCCTGAGCAGTTCTCTGCAGAGCTCCAGCTGGACATTTCAGCCCTTGAACCGTTACCCAGCCTTGCTGTGCGTGGCTCAAGAGAAGGACTGTGCAGCTCAACAATATTCTGTGTCAACAGCTTGTATTATGGAGATGCAAACCTTAGAGTGGTAGCAAATCACACCAGAGAAAAGTTGTGTGGGTTACTGCGCATCACTGGAGCCCTTTTACACCCAAGAAGCCCAAGGAATGCCATGGAACCTACAACGCACCTATATTTTGTGGGACAGACCTCCTGAAGAGGAAAAAATATTGTACCTTCACTCATAGTGCCTTGCCTTGGAAAAAGTTCATAGAGACAGGCGAGGGTTGGTGTTCTGCTGGAATTGTTCAAGTTTGCATCGTGTCACTATTGCTCACGGAAGCAGTCCTGCCTGGATCTGTGAGCTGTGGGAAAATTTTGCAGTCTCGTAACACCACTACCAACTGTGAACGCAGCGTTGGCAGCCTGGCTGCTGGATGCCACCAGCACATTAAGAGCTGAGGCACTGAGACCTGCTCTGCAAGCAGAGCATTTACAACTCCAGACACACGAATATGGGAGGATTCCCTGGAGGCAGATCTGCAGGGCTGGGCAGATGCTCCCTCCAACCCCCGTGTCCCTGGGCACACTGGGCACACACCCAGCCCTGCGCTGCCGCTGTTCCAGGCGGGATGGGGTGGACAGCCACCCCCCACACCATGAATTTCCTTTGCAGGGTGTCAGGGCATGCCTGGGGATGGGAGCTGGGCTGCACCCCGAAGAGTGCCCAGTGGGTTTGTTGTGGAACCAGGGCAGTACTGAACTGCAGCCCCTGATACCATTATCTGCTTTCAGAGGGCAAACAGAAAGCAGCGCTGAAGGTATTTTGTATGAGCTTCCCAAGTGTTGATGAGATTGTTATTACGATATGCATCTTTTCTTTACAAAAGGGAATTATATTTTAGCTCAAGCAGACAGGATTCCTGGGAGTCCCATACTGAAAAGTGTAGGCTACATGCAAAAAACCCAATGCAGAGACTCACTGATGTCTGTCACACGCTGATTTAAATGCGAATGACTTCAAGGACTGCACTCTCAAACGTATCACAGGAAATTGGTGCAAAGGGAAAATTATTGACCATCCTAGGAATACAGGAGTAGATAGAAGTAAATCCTTATTTATGCAAAAACCCCTAAGCCTATCTGATCTCATATTGATGGCCATTCTATCTTAGATTCATTTTGTAAGACCTTTAATAAAACTGCACAATAACCAGAGCTAGGGATGACAGCCCATGTTAAGTTTCTGACACTGCAAAGAACAACGTGGATCATATTCAGAAATTTTCCCAGTGCTCAACATGCCACTTATCAAATTCCCTTCAAGCATTCATCACACCCATGCAAATAATTTATTCTTCCCCACAGAAGCTTTGTGTTTGATCACAATGACAACTTACTGCTTCTGCTCTGCATCACATGCATTATGGAGCTTCACACCCCAGAGCAAGAGCTAAATCACATCGAGGAAACCTACTGAAGTGACCTTCCATTCCTGCAGTCCTTGCACAAAATCACACCTCATGAACTCACAAAGATTTAGTTATGTCAACAAGGTCTGCAGAGCCAAGACCACTTTTGAAAAATGAGTTGTTAATCCTGAGAAGGATTAACACATTAGGAGATAAGCAAATGCTTAGCCCAAGATTATTGTTACAAACTAGGCACTTTGATTATAAACTACATTTTTATCATTTAGGAGTCACCTGTCCTGCAAATACACATGCACTAATAATTTGTCTATGAAATCCCTGGGAAACCACAAACAGATTTTAGACTCTGCTGATCAGGGTAAGAAGTCTGTCAGAATAGCTTTAACAAATAAAATAAATGCAAAATAGTGAAACATACCTAGAGGACAGAGTCTTCTGGCTGAGTAGGGTTGTAGGCTGAGACCCAAAGAGCTGGCAATTTGGGATGGAATAGCTTTTACAAATCAATCAGTGCAGAAAGCTAACATCACATGAGTTATGCATTTACCAGGCAGTGTTTGACAGCAAGAAAAAAGCTACAGCACAGAAAATTTCTGTGTATTTTAAGCCTCCATCCCAAACTGACTCCTCATACAATTCATCTGCAGGCTGTAATTTACTAAATCCATCTGTTGTTCCTGCAGCTTGCTTTCTGGAACTTCTGCATTTCAAGGGTCTGCTTGTTAGAGAAGGTCAAAGAGTAAAGTAGGCCCTTTCATTTTAAGTGACTTGAAAGAAAAGGAAAGGAAATTTATATTTAGAAATAGCAATGATTAACTAGGGGAAATATATTAGAGTATTAAAATAAACGACATAGAATGGCTCTTACTTTCAATTAGGCTGACTTTACTTCAAGAAAAATATTTATATACAAATATAAAAAGCTGGGGAATGCTAACCTATACTAAGATGAAAGCATCTCATAACATAATTCATGTTTAGCCATTAAAATGGGGGATCACATTTTTACATACTTTTTCTTCTTGTCCTTCTAAAGTCTCTGCTTCTGTGCTTTCTTCTCTAATCATCAAAACTTTTCACAGCTTCTTTTTGTTAACAAACCGCCTATGGCAACTGCACACCTTCCACATCTCCATAGCCTTCAGAAAGGCACCATCTGATGCTACTGCATCATTCTGGATCAGAACAGATTCACCACTCAATTAACAAAATAAGCTCACATCCAGTCTAAAACTGAGGGTCTCAAGAGCTGAAGCCAGGGCCAGGTCCATCAAGGTGTACTCGGTATTCCTGGCTGTATGCAGGGCTTCTGATTTCAGCCCACTTATTGGATGATATAAAGAACAGCAAAGCCATTAAAAAAAAAAACAGAGGAGAGCTGTGGGTATCTCCTGAGCACACCCCATTGACAGTGAAGTGCTGGTGGTGCAGCCCAGAGCCATACAAGACAGCTCCAGTCACCCCAAGAGCCCCAGGGAGTGTGTCCAGCCCCTGGGGACAGCACTCAAGCTTGTTTAAACCACGGAGCTCACTCTCCATTGGTGCTATTGCCATCATCAGAGGGAAGGGAGGGAGCCCCGAGACCCCTTCTAAATACTGTGCAGCTGATGCTGTAGGTGGCAGGTGTTCATTCCACCTGATGAGCTAAAAGTGCAGCTCCACATGTACTTACGGGCTGTGGTAGGCACCATGGTCACAGCCTTAAAGAGGGCAATGACTAACACCATACAAAGTAGATACTGGGGGAAATCACAATTCATACAGCTGGACTTCAGCCAGGAGATTAAAATCACCCTCTATATGAGTACAAAAGTCTCCCAGGACCCTTACTGGCTGTCAATCTAAAACACATCCTAAGCTCGGGTGCACTAACGTCATGCAAGAACACTCATTCAATCCTGACTCAGGAAAACCGTGTCACCTACTGAGTCACCAAAACCACCCCTTGCAGCATGGGTTTCCTTGGAGTCCTCTTTGTCAGCCTTGCTTAGACCTGACCCTGTTTTGCCTATAAGGTTTAATACAATGGGAGTCAAAAGTCATGTGATGCAATGAGCTGCAGTTTTTCTCAGGGGCTCTCCCTCCTTCCAACAGCAACCCTACCAAAAGGCTTTTGTCTAAGGAGTAGAATAAGGAGCATAACACAGTGTTTGCATTTACTTATGGAAGAGCTACACCAGCAGTTCCTCTCAAGCCTCTGAAGTCAGCTCCAGTACAGTTATTTGGCCTAAGTTCATCTAAACTAAATGGGCTGACTTGGTTCAAATGTGTTGCACAACCAAATGATAAAATTTGGGGGGAGGGAGGGAATGACTAGTGATGACACATGTATTTAACACTGCATGTCTCCTCTTTCCAGATTAGGAGGAGCTGGCAAGCTCCAGTCTGTACACATGCCAGCAGCGGATGTCGGCACATATACAACACTTTTCAGAACAACATACTGTTGAAACATGTAGTTCAACTCCAAGGTACCCCTTCTGTTCAGTTAGCCCAAAACAGCTAGTAGAACTGTATTGCTTAATATGGTAGGATTTGTAGCACAGCTTTTAATGCTGCTTTAATCTGGTTTCTTTATAGCCACCTTGGAAGCGTTCAGGAGTTGGTAGGAGCAGCCCTGCTGTGCTTTGCTCAAGCTGCTCCACATCCATTTGAGCTGGGGGAAGTGACGAACCTGCTGGCAAGAGGGAAATATCAAGGATGGAGGGGGTGTCATAAGTGATACATCAATGTAATCCTCTCTTCCGCTTTCACATGTCCTCACTTTCTTTCCTTTTTCAGTCTGAAGTGCAGAAAATCATGATGATGACAAGCTCATCCTGGTTCATAGTCAGGGTGTCTTGACAAAGTCAAGCAAAGATCTGAAAGAAATAATAATGTCAAAATAAATAAAAATATATTCTAAGTTTGAAAATAAGTGTTCTGCATTCATTAACAGAAAGCTTTGCCTTGATGACTTCAGATTTTAAAATAATTTCTGTTCTATCCTCCTTTTTCTTTCAATAATTTTGGTGTGAACATTTATAAATTCAGCATCCCCCTAATCCCATATTCTTTTTCCTGCTTTATTTGCCCCTTCATCTCTTCAATTATTTTATTCTTTGTCACAAACAATCACTAACAATCATTTAAAACAAAACAACAGTGCAGAAAAAAACCCTCATCTTTTGTTGTGGGTCTGGAGTGATGCTGAGTGTATCAGAAGTGGCCAATACACCCCATGTCACATTGGTCAATTTTCGACATTGGAATAATTTTCCTTTAGTTTATGATCTGGCCACTGTATTCCACCACCATTATCCTGACAATTTCCCTTTATTCTCACCTCCTAGCAGCTGCTTCCACTTCACTCCCCCTTTCTTTCTGCATGGCTCTGGCTCTGGGGAGGAGTGGGTCAGGCTGCAAAGGCTCAGGGAGAGCTTCCTGCCACAGAACTCAAATGGGTGCAAGGCAGGAGCCGCCAAAGCCTCCAGCTCTGCTCTGCAGAAATTTGATGTGCTAATCTGGGGATCACAGAGAGAGCTGCAGCCAACCCTTTCCCCTTTTCCTCAGAATCACCAATCCCTGCAAGTACCTCTTGGGGAAGCAGCCACTGGTTTGGGTCTTGTTCCTTTTGCTGCCCTCTCAAGCATCCAGAGAGAGCAGTTTTCCATTCAGATGTCCCAGGTCACCACAACTAAAACCAGTTTCACTGTCTGCCATCACTTCAGCTGTTCACTGCTGCCATCCAGCCCCATTGTCAGCAATGATTCTCATTCTGATCTACCTTACCTAGATTTTTCCAAATAACTCCTAAAATTTCAAAATTAATCAAAGAATCACAGAATCATTAAGGTTGGAAAATACTTCCAAGATCATCACGAACAACTTCCAACTGAATACTGCCATGCACACTAAATCATATTCCAAAGTATCACATTAACCTGGATTTTGAACAGGAGGTGCCAGGAATGGTGATTCCACCACTTCCCTCCAGTAACTCTTTTAAAGCAGAGCTGTCCTTTAGAAATGAGCTTGTTCAGACAAAAGCAAGCTGGGGAGTACCTGTGTGGGAAACTACACTGGCCTGTGTGATGGAACACCTTTGGTGGGAGATACCCAAGGGAAGAAGCAGTTGGAAGGTGGGTCTGGATCAACTCCTCTTCACCAGGCTCAGTTGCAGCCTGGACAGCATGTCTGAGCAGAGCCTGAGCTGAAGGGACAATATTTGGATTTCTCCTGTACTTTGTCCCGTCCAATGTTCAAACAGGAATCCCAGGACAAAGTGTACTTTATGTCAATTGTAGCAGATGCAGGGGAAGAGGCTACTTCCAATGGGTTGTAAGGATTTGCTTAAAATGTAAAGAACACTTTAAGAGAAAAAAAAGCAGCCCTGTACCTTGGTTTGGTAAAAAATCAAGTTTTATAGACCCAAAAAATCAACACACTTTTCCTTATAGTTTATGTAAAAATTGTTGTGGAAGAAATTAGTGTGATTCTGCAAATCCGCCTTCATGGATCCTTTTAATTTAGAGGCATGAGTCATTGGAGCAGGGACTCCTTGGATGATTGTGTGACCACAGGATGCAGCCCTGGAAAAGTGTTTTTGTAAACAAATAAACATGTTCCTTCCTGTTTGAAACTCAGATCTTTCAGCATTGGGCAAGCGCCTGAGAACCCGACAGTGAGAGTAATAAGAAATATTAAATGCAATGCCAGTTGCTTGGTCCAGTTCCAACAGCAAGAGGTGAACAAAACACACAGAGTGAAAAAAATATTAGTCTTTTAAAATCCTTTAATAATCTGAAGTGTTATGGGTATCAGGGACAGAGAAAATACATGTTAAGTGAAATTTGCCTGAAGAGATGGTCTTACAACCTGGCAAAATCAGAACAGAGAGTAAAAATCCAAAAATTGGTAGAGTTGATGATGGCTTGTGCCATGTTGTGCCATACACACAGGGAGTGATCCAAAGATCACAGGCTCCAAAATGGGTTTCACACTATGGCTTTTAACATCTGATGAAGTCTTTTGAGAGCGATTATCCTCTTTTCCTGGAGAAAGCAGGATGCTGGCCCCAGTCAGCAGCCTGCACTACCTTTGTTACTTGACTCCCAAAGGGCAAAAATGGAGTCTTCAGTCCTAGCAGCTGGAAGCATTTCCAGAAAAACATGTAGATATTCGAAAGCAACCTAAATATTGCAGTGTCAGGAAGTCAATTTTCCATTGGTAGTTTAAAAATAAACTTCTGGCAGCTGTCAGGGAATCCTTTAAGTACATTTGGATCAATGCATGAAGTCAAATAAACACTTAAAATCCCTCAAGATTAAGAATGAATCCAGTCAGGAAATGGCTGAGCCACTGCTTGACCCTTTTTTCTGTCTCAGACCAACCAACCTGGAGGATGCTCCAGCCCACCTCCAAATCCTGCTATAGCTGGGCCAGAGCAGCCAAGGGAAGG